ACTAAATTACCTCCTTGAATGCGAGAGATGGTGGAGTTCTTATTGAGACTACTCATAAGGGGGGTCGGTTTGTGCGCCTGACCAGTGGCTCGGTACATGGCCATCACCCAAAGGTGACATTCATTTTCGTCTTCGCAGGCAAAGACCACACTGTCTCCTTCCTTGACGGCATTGAAGAAGTGCTTTCCCTCCTCCAGTTCTACCGTAGACAGGCCGCAGTAGGAGAAAGAAAGCAGTTGCTAAGTGACAAGAAGACAAATGAGCAAATCATGTTGAACATACCGGGAATGGGCTCAATGTAGTCCACCGTGTACCCATCTAGCTGCAGCATCTCCACTGGATCTGACTTTTTCTCACGATAGCTGCACATTGCAAAGGCGTACTGCGAAACTTGCACTAAAATAAAGTACCGTCGTTTCCACTTTTTCCACACTTGCTTTCCCTGAGCTGTCAGATAGCCACAGTGCTTCATATTTTGTGGCTTGTCCATGCGAATCTGTGAAAAGGAAAGAAGAAATTACGTGAATGTCAGCCAGTCAGCCAGTTTGCCAATCGCACAATGGATGCCGTCAATTTCGATCGATCGCATCGATTGTTAATGGCGCCTGATCTATTGGAAATGCGTGCAATTACTTGCGAAACGTAAGCGGCAACTTACAATAATCTTTATTGAAAGATCCTGATCGGCGGCATTCTTCGGCACAATCATCTTGTACCACTCGGGAGTCTTTGGCGTCAGTGGCGTCGGTCTGATGATCACCTTGCCCAGCTCCTTGTCGTCCAGACTGAGAATGCTTGGGCTCTCCGCGTACAGCTTCACTTTGACTACAGGGAGGGCGTGCATAGTGGAAAAGTCGCCCTGCGTGTCCCACATTGGCTTTGCAGCCAGGACGTGACCTGTCTGCAGCTTCTCCTGTCCCTCCACTTCCATGGTGCAGTACACGACTCGATTAGCCGGCAGCGTCTTCAGACCGCGTACCTCCAAGACCACCACTGTTTGTATCCACCAGCAAAGTCCGGACCGAAAATAGAACATGCGTTACTTGTTAGTGACTGTGATGAAGTTGTCAGTGCCAATGTTGCAGTACCTTCCACTGAAAAGGATAGTATGACGTCCACTTTGGAGAGTGGAGATATTTCGGGCTTCTCTTCCATGAGTCCTTCCTTGGCAAGCGAGGCTTGCGTTCTAGGGTTTGCAGTCGAAGGATCAAGGGAACATGGTCAATTAGAATGGTGGCCCAGTAAGAACAATGACTAGTGGTGGTGGCACAAGGAGAAGCAGTACCCAGTTGCGCCCAAGCGACTACAGTGCCGAGAGAGAGTGAAGTCAAGTGAAACTACCGTACACTACAAGCGCTAGCAAGTGCACAACCAAGCCAAAGTGCTCAATCATTTCAAACGGTACATGCCTTAAGACTGATGATCGCCGACGACTGACCGGTAAAAGTCAGCCAGTAACAGAGTCCATTTGGCAGCAATTGACAGCAGGGAAAACAGTTGGGTTACATTTGGTTCGATTGTTTGCGCGCAGTGGAGAGAAAGAGCAAGAGCGAGAAAGAGAGAGAGAGAGAGAGAGAGAGAAAAGAAGACAGAGGAAGCAGAGCGTACATTAATATTGCATGTTGTAGTGCACGGGAACATAATTGCATTTGCCACCGAAAACCCGCAATCGAGGTCTTCGATCAAGGCTGCTTAGACACTTCGTCGTAATAAATATTAATATACTGCTCACTTTGACCTTGGCTAAGCTTTGAAAGATAGTGTCTCTTGGTGGAGCCGCTTCAAAATGAAACAAGACAATGGTAATTGCCTCCAACCACCAAAAGAAACACTGTAAAGTAGGCTTCCTTGTATTACTTAAATGTTTTACTGCTCCTGGCAATGCTTCATTTGAGAACCTTAATATTATTAGACACAATTCACATTTTAGTGTCTCATTAGAGAATTACGTGTGACTGCACTGTAAAGTAGAGCAGTTAGAGGGAGAGAGAGACTGCATCCAGATTTAGATCCCAGTCTCTACAATGTAAATCAAGGCTAACAAAAAGAAGTNCTAGTGTCTCATTAGAAAATTACGTGTGACTGCACTGTAAAGTAGAGCAGTTAGAGGGAGAGAGAGACTGCATCCCGATTTAGATCCCAGTCTCTACAATGTAAATCAAGGCTAACAAAAAGAAGTNCTGGCAATGCTTCATTTGAGAACCTTAATATTATTAGACACAATTCACATTTNCCAACCACCAAAAGAAACACTGTAAAGTAGGCTTCCTTGTATTACTTAAATGTTTTACTGCTCCTGGCAATGCTTCATTTGAGAACCTTAATATTATTAGACACAATTCACATTTTAGTGTCTCATTAGAGAATTACGTGTGACTGCACTGTAAAGTAGAGCAGTTAGAGGGAGAGAGAGACTGCATCCAGATTTAGATCCCAGTCTCTACAATGTAAATCAAGGCTAACAAAAAGAAGTCAAATTGCCCACTGTACTACATGTCCTGTCTGTGAGTGTGCGTCAGTTTTCTCTCTGCGGGTAGCTGGCAAAGCAATTAGAGAATTGATTCGCTCGTTGGGAAAAAAAGAATGCACTAATGGCAAACAGAGTGGTCTTGAGAATAAACTAATTAAAATCGAAAAGGTTGTCAATCGAAAAAAGAGTGAAGAAGGGACGACGGAAGTAAGATGAGCGGTATATGCTGCTGTGCTGAAGTGGGTATATAGGCTGCAGAGTGACAGAGGCAGCAGAGCAATTTGCCAATTGCCCATTGACAATTGCTGCCGACAGTGATGGCTGGCAGTTGGCAGTCTCCTTCCTCTGCTCTGCTTTGCATTGATTGCAGTGATTCAGGCAGCGAAGCAGTGACTTGGCTGCGCTGAAGGCACAAACACACACACACACGAACACACTTACGAACTCAGACAGCACGTCACAACTCACCTATGGTTGTTGATTTTTTTCAGTTGAAGTTTTTGCAAACTATAGCGACTGTCAGTATTGCTCTTTAGCACTGGCAAGCTCTCCAGATGTGACATCAAAGTGTTGATTGATTTTCGAACCTCTTCAATGTACAAACTTTCCATCTCTTTGAGAACAAACTTCGGCATCAGCTTGCGATTCTGTGCGCGATAAAAAAGACCGTAAAAGTTAGAGCAGTTCAAAATGCAGTGTTTTGCCGTCAATCTGCTGAAAGTCTATTACCGTGAAGAAGCGCTCAAAATTATCATCGATTTCGGTTCTAGTCAGTTTGGCAAGTGAAGCTTGCCAAATTCAATCAAAACTTAATTACTCGATTGTCATTAATGGCAAATATTCAACTACTCAGATGGCACAATGGGCTGCTGTTGTTGTTGGGGCAATAGCCAGTGGTTGGCCTACAAATGAAGTGACACGAAGCAGTGTGTACACTGCCGACAATGGATCAATAATGCATGCGCCAGAAGGCGACATCAATTATTTATTGTAATAGACATTGAAAGATACGTTCACTGCCTGGTCGATCTCACTGTTATGCAAAAGTCAGCAAACCTATCAGTGGTGGTCGCTCTTTCCATTGATATCGCCATCGTCCGCAACACTGCGCCATCATTCAGCACGAACCACCTTCAGTGCATCGACATGGCATTGATTCCAGGCTTGATGATGCCCCCTCTTTACTGCCTTCACTACACTGAACATCAAACACAGACGCCATGAATGCTTACACTACTTGCCAGGCGGCGTACTATCAATCAAAAATGTGATTGGAAATGCAAATTTAATATCACCACTAATGGGCTTCGTCGCCGTATGACCACCGCTTTGTCTGAATTGCTGACGATAAATTTGCCTGCTTCAGCTGATAATTTTCTGCTTTTGTAAAACTCAAACCACCGCATAAAACTTGCTTTGTGTGAGAGATAAAACGAAAAATAAATGATGCTAATGATGCTTCTTCACAGCTAGTCATCTATTGTCAGCAGCGATTTAACGCAAACTTACCTTTTCCATTTCTGCGCATCGCTGTATTCTGCCGTCAAGCTCCCGCCTAATTGCTGCCGCCTGTTCGTCAGAAGAGTCGAGCTGCATAGAAGAAAAACAAGGGTCTAATTAGTGCACGACCAGTCACTGGTGCTAATCCAATTGCTGTACTTTGAGAAACATTTCATACAATACAAACTTTTTGGTACGTTAAAGACAGTGACTTTAATTTAAAGTGTAAGCACATCGCCTAATCTTTTTAATCTAAGTTTAGTTTTCGGTTTTTTGTTGCTTTGTTAAATCAAATTAACTGTAAATTTTTTTGCAATAATAATATTTTGCCTTTATTGAAGTCAGTTAGAGTTTAATAATTTTCCCTCTATTCTGCAAATTGCATTATATACTTTTTTATTATTACGTTTGAAAGATTTTAATTAAAGTAGAGTTTGATGCGCCTTTCAGTTTCGATCCTTTTTTTGTCGGTAGAGAGTAGTCAACTTTAAATTTTCATTTGCATGTAAATTAATAGCAATTGCTTTCTTTTAGGTTTCGGCATAAATTGAATTCTATAGCAATAAATTGGCATCACTAAGTCTGCACATTGCCGAAAAAGACAAACTTGAGCTAGTGCAATTGGTATATTTTAATTAAATCTATGTTTTATTTATAGTTGTGGGTCAATTTAAAGGAGACCGTCAATAAAAGCCAGTCCAAAAAGGACTGTAAAGCTAAGGTGCTGTCATAGAGACAAAAATGAGTCAAGTTAGCTGCCACACCAATTGCCGCTATGCAAGAATGTCAAACCATCTTTAAATGTCTTTATTCTATAAGAACTAGCTAGGGGCAAATTGAAAAGGCCAGCCTGAGTTGAGTGGCTAAAACACCAAGATATTCAAGATGCCCACTTCTGAAACTCAAACATAAAATAAATGAAAAGAGCATTGTCAATCCGATTGAATCCGCCAACTTAGGCCGGCTCTTACTGCTCCTAATAATAATCTCAAAAGCAAATTATAGTGAATAAAATGGAATTGAATTATTCAACGGGTACTGCTCTCTGGCATACAGGAATTTAGTCGTCTTTTGTACAAAAACGTTTTGACAAAATGAAAAGGAAAATAAACTGGATGCCAAGCCTGGCACAAATTCTGTCAGAGTATATGAAAAATAATTTCAAATATTAATCTTAAATTTTATCGGTTTTTAGATTGATTCGATTGATCATCTAAAAACCAATAGGCAACACTGTATTGCACGATCAGTAAATGCCTCTCTGTCAGTGGCATCGGTGTAGCTTTTGGGTGTGATCCGTTCAGAGCCTGTTCAGTTACATTAATCAAATCGATAACGTTCTCTTGTGCAGGATGGCTAAGTAATCTCACTAGATCTCCGGTTTGCAGAGCTAGTCACGATGCCGTCAGTGAAGCCTTCGCTGGAGCACACACAGTATTGAGCAATTGCCAGCTTCAATTAGTAAAGTCGAGAAAGCAAATGCTTTGCAAAGTAAACTTTGCTGCAGTATTCGCCTCTGCAGTGAAGCCCATGCCTGAGCCCACGGAAACTGATTCTCTCCGTCGGCGTGTGTGACTCGAAATGAAACAGTCACCAGAAGGTGTCCATTTACATGCCTTGTTAGTGGGTATATTGGCTGACTTTGCTTACTTTAGGCCCGCTGCGCCTCACTACGTCCTTTCCCTTTGTTGCACTATGTGTTGCAGTGTGTTGCACGCTGGCAGCGGTGGCACCCATCGCCACGCCACAGTTAGGAGCAGCGAGTTTGTCTACAGCTAAACAAGCAAACAAATATTTGCATAGGGCACTCAGAGGGAGCCAAAGGAAGAACACCCGAGAGAGTGGACATGTTTGGATGTTGCAAGTTGCAAGTTTACGGGCAGACGAACAGAGAAAGCAAAGGGCGCACTCACCTGCAAAGCATTGTAGAGCAATTGATGTTCAAACTTTTTAATCTTCAAAATATTCTGAAACGTGTCGTACAGTTGTTCTTTGGTGAGAATGGTATCGCATATTTGTAAGTTCTGCTGTTGCTGCTGGTACTGCTGCATTTTGCTGCCCGTTAGCTTCTTTGACTCGCCGTCATCGTAGGCACGAAAGATGACGTCAAACTTGGTGAGCCACTGACTGATGATGGACTCTTTCGTGGTGCCCTCCGCCTCGGGCAAACTTTTCACTCGCTTCTCAATGTTTTTCCGGAAGACTTCGCGAAAGTCCTCAGCGCTACAGGCACCACTTGCGACGATCATGTGCAAGCGGTTGCTCTTGAGGAATGCCTCAAAGTAATTGTGAACAGCACTCCGGAAGGACTCGTCCGCAGAGATGGACAGCTCATTGTTGAGGAAACTGTTGAAACGGTTGATAATTTGCTCCAGTTGCGACAGTGTCACCTTGATATTCCTCGTCTTGATCGGCTCCGCCTGCTGCGCCGCATTGAAGGGATAGGCAATACAGCGCAGCACTAAGACGTACAGCTGAAGTCGAGTCTTGCGTTCCACTTCTTCCCGTTCCGCCTTGTCGGCCTCATCCTCCTCGGGCTCCTCTTCGGCCTTTTCGGGCTCGCTGGTGATCAGCTCAGGTGGGTTTGGACTGGTGGCTCGGAGGTGAGCGAGTGAAGCTCGTGCGGTTAGGTAGTTCTGCTGTTGAGCATTGCTGCAGGCGACTGGCGTGGCCGGCGGCTCGACGCAGGGCGACACACTGCGCTGACCGGCCACGTTCGGATGCAGGTAGTTCTGGCTCGGGTTGGTTGCCTGCGACTGTCGACTGCTGCTGTCACGCTGCGAGGACAGACCGGAAAGGGCACTTGAGGTGTCGTCCTGTTCGGGCAGATAGGTCGTCTCGTTCTCATCCTCCGAGGAGGATGGCTCCAGCATGGTGCAGCTGCTGATCTAGGCACCGAAGCAAGACTGCTGCCGACGATCTATTGCGAGCCCTGCCGCTGTGCCGCTGTCGCACAATTCAGTTCCGACTCAAGTTAGGCAGCGCATTGACAAGTGAAGTGTGAGGAGGTAAGCTGAAAATGAATACAGAGCATTAGTGGTTGTAAAGAAGTAAGCAGTGGAAGTGGCACTGTCAGCGTTTGGGCAATCAATATTTCAACGCTAATATAATCACAGTGTAAAGCGTAGGAGCTGTCAAAGGGAGTTGACGCATCAAGGCAAAGCAATCATTTTTATCCATGGTGACAAAACACTATCTAGACCAATTTGTGCAATTGACAGCTGTACTGGTAATTAGTCAGCCGACTAATGGCCTTTCAACCCAAGTGATCGGCACTGGTTGTTTAGTGTTGGGGCTGCGCTGAACATGAAATCATTTTGGGAAAATCAGAATGATTTGAAGTAATGGGCAGTCATTGGAGGACTATCATTAGTTGTGATGATCCCCATATAGGCGTGTATTCATTTATAATTGCCAAATTAATTGATTGACTGCCCTTAAGCTTAGGACTGGTTAGAGGCTGGACAGAGGCTGCCAGTGTTTGGCCAGTGTGCTTTCTCAAGTGTGCCTAATCGGAGCCGGTGAGTACAGAGAAAGAAAGANTTAAGCTTAGGGCTGGTTAGAGGCTGGACAGAGGCTGTCAGTGTTTGGCCAGTGTGCCTTCTCAAGTGTGCCTAATCGGAACCGGTGAATACAGAGAAAGAAAGAAAGAAAGCAAGCAAGTGAAAGAAAGAGAAAGAGAGAGAGAGCACTACTTGGATGTCAGTCAGTTTAATTATAACTGCCCCTTTACAGTCGGTGATCAGAGAGAATGGAGCAGCAGTAAGTGGTACTCGGCAGTGTGAACACTGAAGACACAGCTCTCCGCCAGATAAGAATGAAAATGAAATCGGTCTCCGTCGCTACGTCGTGCCGTCGTTCTTCGCACCACTTCAGGCCAAGTGAAGCACGACAATTTAAGCCTTTGAGCAAGAGAATGGACTCATCAGGCAGTGCTTCGCCCGCCAATGACAGGCGCCCCCTTCGATGCCCCCTTCGTTGCGCCAATGGCGTCAAGTGGTTCAGGGAGACATAGTCGGCCAAGTCATCCCGCTCACTCATCGCCATCAATGGTGCATCTTTCACACACACATACATACACACTTCCTCAGGCATGGTCGTTGCGCTGGACTCCTTTTCTTCCCGTGTGTTCCCTTTGTCTGTGTCTCTGTTCGTCATTGCTCGCCACTGCATTCCTCTTGGCATTGAAGCATTCAATGGCTTGGGCTTAAACTAAATGCCTTTGATGTCGAGCTATGTGCCCAGTGCCTGGTCACAAGGTAGTTGTTTTGATGCAATTCAAAGAGATGTGCTCGTTAGTCCTGCCAGAGCAATAATAAGTAAGTGCATACAATTAAAAGAAAAAAGAAAAGATTGCGCAGACATGGTTTGAGCTACCTTGCACTACCATGGAATTGAGGAATGCAAATATGCCTTTCACTGTTTTTCACCAGCAAATAAACAATGAAATCTTGGTGCATGTGTGAGCGGCCTCTAGACCATTAAATGGTGTGCAAGTTGTGGAGAGAGGCTTGGGCGCAAAGTGGTTCGCCATGGACACACACACACAAGCACACAGTGGGTCTCCAAGTGAAATGGTGGCACCGAGTGGTCGACCAAGAAGCAACCAAGCAGCAGCAACCGAAAAGAAGACATTTATGAGTGTGCACTAAGGCGCAGTGCAGGCACTGGTCAGCTTCCGATCTACTTTTCCCATTTGTCTTTGCTTTCAATTGTTTAGCAATCGCAACACTAATTTAGCCATTTCAATTATTGGAACGGCATCTCCGCTGCCGCGAGAACTCTCTGACAAATGGCACTTTAAGCTGACGACAGCACTTACCGTCGCAAAGTGAGCAAGTGTTCAGCGCCATGAGAAAATCGAATCAGCAGCAAATAGGAAGACACAGTAATTTGTGGCAAATTGAATTTGAAATTAGAATCTACATTGCAGATGATTGTCCTTAATAGTGCACCAAAGTGGTACCAGGCACCAAAGAGGAGTGATGGCAATATATGAAATATAGGAAATGGAAAAGTAGAAAACGAAGCCACTGGTCGAGTGCTCTGATATTGGCCTTCTCCACTGTGGCCTTCTGTGCACACGGCACACATAGCTCCGTAGTAATAAAGCATCTCAATGCGGTCGCCAGAATAGTGTAGCTTTCAGTAGCACACGCCGCAAAAGCTATCTGGGAAATGAACACTGGCTTGTGCCATCTCCAGAGACAATTGCACTGCCGTCGCTTGCCGTCTGTTGACAGTCGCCAACTGAAGAAGCAGACGAAGCAAACACGGCCGGACTTGTGGCCTAAGTTCACAATTTGACAAATGCAGAATGTAAGGTTTTTTGGTATTTACTGGCGTACTTTAATGAATATGTGTTGACATATTTGTCTAGCTTTTGCTATTGCCATTGTCACGTGCTTCCGATTTGTCAACTTGCGCAAAATCTAATATCCACATACCCTACAATTAATAGTATTAAATTAATTTAAGCTAGTAAATAATANTTTTAATGAATATGTGTTGACATATTTGTCTAGCTTTTGCTATTGTCATTGTCACGTGCTTCCGATTTGTCAACTTGCGCAAAGTCTAATATCTACATACCCTACAATTAATAGTATTAAATTAATTTAAGCTAGTAAATAATAATAGTAGAAAAGGGGGCAAACCATGCCGTCTAGTCTGAGCTGATGCGGCTAGGCCAAGGATGGATATTGAGGAAACCGAAGGAGTAATGAAGCCATGGCCTGAAAGTGATGGCGATTGCTGCACTCAATCAATCGCCGACTTGTCGCCACTCAAAGGCACCGGCAATAGCACAGGCAGTGAACAGAGGGCCAAACGGAGCAGATGGGAAAACGCCTCCGCTATTCGACTATATTTAGCCGACTTTTGTTTGTTCAGAAAGGGAGCATTTTTTGCTATTCAATTGATTTGTTGCTTGATGGTAATATTCCTTTCTACTGAGTATACCCTACTTTCATTAAAATTGTTTAATCAATGAAGACTTTTTTTTATTATTGCTAAAGTCATCTACATGAATGTCCTACTTGTATTTTTTGCTTGTCCAACGTAATGGGTTGAAAGTTTTGTGAAGTATATTACAAGACCATAATTGCAAAAAAAGAGAGTGCAAATGCGCTGCTTTTCCCACAACGTGTCTATCATCGATCGCATCGATTGCACAATATCCGATTCTACGAGTCAACAGAAGCCTAATCACAAATTGCAAATACACAGCAGACTTACTTTGAGTGGAACGCTTAGCAGTCATCAGTAACGTCAAATGAGAAAAGCCAATGAAACAAAAAGTCGACAAAATAGCACCATGAGAGGAGGACAATTTAATGATAATATATTGGCGGATGAAATGGACAAGCAGTAGCACAACAAGATTAGCAAAAGAAGAGCAATGTATATTTGCAGTATGACAGCCGCGTGTGCGACAATATTGTTTGTGTGGGCACACTAGTCTACGAAAGTGTCTAATAAGGGCGAGTGGAGAGACCACGGAGACTGCCTCCGTTGGAAGGGACAGCCGAACTGCCTGCTCCTCCTGTCGAAGACAAATTCGGTGGCGCGTTGGAAGAGAGCAGTCGGCGTTCGGTGGCTGCAGCACTGGCCAGTGCTAACCTGCACTCAGGTCTAACGGCGCTGCTCTGCTCTGCTCTGCTCTGCTCCACCGTGAATAACGTAAGGAGAAGTAAATCAACGTAAATGTACTCGGGCAGTGTACGGCTGGAGAGAAGAGGCAGCGGCGGCAGCGACGGCGGCTCCAGGCAGACGAGGGCAACACGAGGGAGGTAGAGGCAAACGGTAGGCTTAGCCACTGTGGCAGAACAGATGTCGGCAACAGAGTCCCCGGTGCTGTGTCCAGTGCCGCCAGCACCAGCCACCAGTCTGTTTATCTCCGCAGACACTCGGTCTGCAACCAACTGAGGATAGGGCAAGCAGGAGCCCACTACTAATGTCGGTCGCTGTACAGCTGCGCACCGCAGATAATATCGATCACCGAAAGTGAAGCCAATATTTCCGTTGCCACCGCTGTCGGTGGCCTAGCAGGCATGCAGGCAGACACAGGGAAAGAGAGATATAGAGGCTGCCCAGCTACTGTTGTACACTTACTCACTCCGACCAGTGGCCAGGAGAGAGAGAGAGANCGAAAGTGAAGCCAATATTTCCGTTGCCACCGCTGTCGGTGGCCTAGCAGGCATGCAGGCAGACACAGGGAAAGAGAGATATAGAGGCTGCCCAGCTACTGTTGTACACTCACCCACTCCGACCAGTGGCCAGGAGAGAGAGAGAGAGAAGGCAAGTTGCATCCGTGCGAAGGGAGGACAATCGCACGATTGCAATGTGCTGCTTCCAGCAATTCACAATCAAGGTGCATTTCACTCATACGAACCACACCGCAATGTCTCTCAGGCTTTCTAGTTCTCTCGAGCTATATACTCCACAATTCGACCAGGCCAGTAACAAAGTACAGAAAGAAAGAGAGAGAGAAAGGACTAAAGCACATGTACAGGTTCATTGCTGTGAGAGAGAGTTTGCAGCCAATTTACATGTGCAACCGTCTGTTTGGTGGCGAAGAAATGGGCATAAAGCTTAATTAATAATACTGCAATAGGAAACCAGTTCGACCACTTCCCATTACTGGTGGACTTGCAGCACCAATGGAGGGCCCGATTGAAAGTGCGACTGAGCGAGCAAGCAAACATTTGCGAATCAATTGAAAAAATCACGCCATGTTGAGAGCAAAATGTTCGTCGAGGGAAAAGACACTGGCACGTATCTGGCGCAAAGAACACATCTTTAGCAGTGGCAGCACCTCGTCGAGTGAGCCAAGCACAATGGAGCAATTAGCAAATGAAATCAGCCCATTCCACGGACGATGGGCAACGGGTCTGCCGGGAGCCTATGCAAATGCCAGTGGACGACGGGGCTGGTTTCACTCTGTGAGAATGGAGAATGTTCCCGACGTGTTCTCGCGATGTCTTTCGAATTATGCTAATTAATTACCCTCCATGCGCCACTGGACCATCAATCTAATTATAAAGAAGGCATACTTGAATGGCCTCGTTCTTCGTTTATGTCTGCCAAAGTGCTTTGTGGAGACCAAAACTTCTGGTCCACTGACCTGGCTAATATCAAGTCTCTTAAGCCTTTGTTCGAAAACAAAACTCGGGATGATTCATTCGCTTCCATCGATTGTCCGCTGGCTTGAAAAAAATGAAAGTTAACACCGGAGTGAGCCACTTTGACATTTAGGGCTTTGCACTTGATACCACCTTGTCATCAAAGCAGTACTGTAACCGTACTTCTGAGCGACGTGTATAAGGCCATATAGAAAAGTCATCAGGTGATTTTTCATCAACTTGCACAAACTCAATTTAAGTTGATAATGAACTGAGCTGAAATGATAACACAAAAAATTAGTAAAAGATGATTTGCTTTTTATTGTAAAAAAAATATAGTCAACTTTATACCAACAAGTATTAGACCTTACGAATTCGCTTTGAGCCTTTCTTTCCCAGCTTCTTCAAGTTGTTGATTGGCTGCACAATTTCAGCTTTTCGAGCATTTTCTTCGCGTCGTTTTTGGTTCTCCTCACGTCGTCTCTTCTTCTCGTCAAGAGCAGCCTGTTTTTCATCTTTGATACTTTGCTCAATTGCTTTGACGTTTCGCTTTTCATTTTTGAGTTGCATCTTCTTTTTCCAAGATGATTTGATGGGTTTACTAAGAACCATACTCCTATTGAATGGAGTCGATTTCTTATCGCGATTCAGCTTGGGCGCAATTGTAGCAATTGATTCGGTAAATTCTCCTGTAGAATTCTTCATTTTATAAATTGTTGTAGAAAAAACTTTTAAGAAAAGCTGATTCAAGTGACTTTTCAAAAACAAATATTTTTGGCAAACACGTGCGGCAAGCAAAAACACAAGCAAAAAATAAGGCCCATACGCAAATGACGATTCGAAATAAAAACAAACCAATTTTGTTTTTGACATTATCCAACTTGAAATCATGTCTGAATCCGACAAGCAAATCGGCCCGTGTTTACCTCCGAATTTCCGAATTAATAATCACCCAGAGGATGAAGATGATGAAGAGGAAGAACAAACTTTTGGTCCAACTTTTCCTGAATCGGTGCTGAAGAAGGATGGTTCTGACAAAACAAAAGAACTTATTTCAACAAACGATGATGACAGTGCTGATGATGATGCATTCGGGCCCGCGCTGCCACCAGGATTTTCTGGTAATCAAATTGGTCCGAGTTTGCCAAGCGGTTTCAGTCTAGAAGATGAAGACGATGAAACATTTGGGCCAGTTCCAGAAGGACTGGAAGATAAAAACCATCAATATGATGCTTCTCAGCGTTTACTGAAACAGAATGTCAAAAATATTACTAAAAGAGAAAAGTGGATGCTTGAGCCAGGAAAAGCACTTGCCAAAACATTACAGACCAAATCGATTACGCAGTTCAGCCAAAAATCTTCTAAAAAAGACGGCCCACTTACTGAAAACGAGAAGAAAGAGCTCGCAGCGGTTGCTGATAAAGACAATAAGATGAAAGAGTTTCTTGAAAAATATGAAAAGGTTTTATAAAAAATTATTTTTGAAGTATTTTAATTGTTTTAAAATAATTTTAGGGCAACAAAAGAGATGTCTCACTTCTGGATAAACATCGTAATGACTTGAAGAAAAATAAGGTTTGAGATAATGTTCTCTTACATTAAAACTTACTAAATTTTTTTTATCTAATTATAGAAATTGAAGCCAGAAAAAACAGAAAGACGTGAGTTTGATCGAGAAAAAGACTTGTTTACTCGATCAATCGATAATAAAAAGAAGAATGGCTTCATTAAAGAAGCCTCAACGACGTTTCCTTCTCGCTTTTCCAGTGGCAAGTTTGAAAAGTTTCTCTAGTTTTTTTTCCAAGCCTTTATCTGGTATGTTCATTGTCACTTATGATCTAATTTAAAATAAAAACTGGTTGAAAAAATGTTTTATTTCGAAAAATAATGTCGATCGTTATAAAAAGAGTATACAAAAATAAAAAAATGTAAAAAACATCACAGTAATAATTTAGGATATTGAGATCAACAATAATGAGAATTTAGAGATCAACAGCCTGATGAAGAGAAAAGGGTGAAAACAGATCAAATTGAGTTGGCATTGCCGTATTCCACTTCAATGGGAGATATTTCACTGCCATGAATGCTTTCCAGATACCGCTGGTGATTGTTCTCCAGCTGTGTGACGCATTCACGAAGTTTTCCAAGGGTGTGCGACAGAGTCTTGCGGTCTTCAATCACAAACTGAGAAGCATGAGTCTTTCCGTATCCCTTCCAGATCTTCACCGAGTTATAGCCTTTCTCACAAGCCTCCATGATTGCCTGCATATTCACCTGGTTTGAGACAAACAAGCAGTGCACCCGTTCCAGCTCGCGGTCAGGGTCTAGTTTTATTTTCAACTCTGAATCGAGTTCTTGCTCCAGTGGGAAGACACCGTCAACTGTTCCGTTTAATGGCAGTTTCTCTTGGCAGTTTAAGTTTTGTTCAATTTCAATCAGTTTACTGAGAGTGTCAACCCACTCTTTTTCCTGAACACAGTTTTTTGCTTGTATTTCCAAAATACACCGATTGTGCCTCACCTGGAACATCTGAAATGAAGACGGTCATTATCACAAAAATGCAATATCAAAATAGCACATACGTTCTTTGTGTTGATTCTGTCGGAAATTTTGCTCACACTAATTTCTTTAATTGGGAACTTGTAAAGTGGAGGTTTATTTTTTGCTTTGGCGTAGAAGAAATCAGTCGTGGTGATGCAGAAGTAGCGTTTCTTGTGGGCTTTTCCCAAGACGATTCTTTTATGTTTTGAAATTTTATGCATAATACTAAAAAGTGTTGGCAACAATAAAATAATGAGAACTTAAAACGAAATATAATAAACGTACCCTTCTTTTAAAATAATTGGCTCTTGAACCACTTTGATTGGGGAACAACCCGACGAAGAGATCAGTTCGAGGAACTCTTTCGTTTTAGTTATGTACTGATCGGAAAGAAATTCTTTATAAAGCAGCATCATGTATTTCTCTTTAATGAGAGGATTGTTCTGCAATTTGTTGATCATTATATTAAAAGAACAGAAAAACTTCGATATGAGACTGTTACCTTTTTTGAAAGAACCAAGTTTCCAATGCTTTGCACTGTTTTGGAAATTAAGGTGAATGTGCGGATTGTTTGCGTACTCTGTAATAAAGTAAAATGAGTTACAAATTGTTACTAGAGATTTGAATATTCAAATACTTACTATATTCATATCTGTCAGCTCAAAAAGTCGAGGATTGAGTATGGCCGGTGCAAAGTAGCGAAGAAAAACAAAACTAGATATAATGTAGTAGCAGACTTCCTTGTTGCCCGGGAAAAACTTGATGGCAAGCTCTTTGAGGACAAAGAAAACCTCGCTCATAATAGCAGGACAACGAGTCATGGATGTGGTGATTGAGCGAAACACATTGGAAATGTATTGCTTCAAGTTTTCCAGGTTGCTCTCAAGTGATCCTTCTTTTATCCGATCCGGGTCAATTTCGCAGCATTTTTGCTCGATGATCACTGTCTCGACAAAGCTTTTTAAAGTTTCGTGCAAGTATCGAAGTCCCACAATCTTCATTAACTCGTCAATAATTTTGGAAACAAGACTGTTGTCGCGAAAAATTAAATTTTCATCGCTACATACAAACAAAGATTAAAAACTCTCATTAAATGCAAAAATAAAAGTACTAACGTCACTTTGGATATTTCGTTTTCAGCCAAATGGCGGATCAATGGCACAAGTTTCCGATAGTGGAGAAAAATTTTGACTAAGGGCTGAGCGGCGTCGGCTTTGTTCAGAAGTAGTTCACCAAGAATGTAGGCAGTACTGGAGGTGATTGGCTAAAAACAAAATTTTATAGTTGGAGGGTACAAAATTAGGAAAGTAGTTTACCTTCATTTCAATAGATGATAGTAGCATGTTCCGAAGAGAAAAGTACAATTGACTAGGAAAGACATAATCAGACGTGTAGTTGAGCCGGAGACGAAGGGACCCGAGGTTGAGATTGCTTTTTGGTGATACGAAACTTTTTGGTTGTAAAAAATACCTAAAAGTATGAAAAACGTATTAATAAAAAACATGTGAACACAATTGCAATCATACCATGCTTTGTGCGATTCGTTCAACTCCAATTTGCTCATTTGAATTCGAATTTCCCCAAGAAAATTATTGCTCGAACGTCCGCATGAATCATGCATGACAAAGATTCTGAAATATTTAAAAACAGTGAGTACCAATTAAATTTATAAAATTCCTAAGGTTCCTTACGATAATTCAGCGCCAGCAAGCATTCTCTGGCACATATATCGGCATTCAGTATTGTCATAGAAATACTGTTTGAGTGGAAACTGCGAAAGAATGCAACTTGTGGTAATTTGTATTTTTAAAACTACGAGTGATTACATACCTCAAAATAAAATGATTCATTGTATTGCGGGTTTGACGTCTTCTTTTTTACTTTTGATCGTTTGCTGTGTATCGTATCGTTAAGTCTCAACTCAATGGCCACATGAGAATCACAACATTCAGACAAATCTTGACATTCAATAACACTAAAATAAAATATTCGTCAGCTTTTTTGGTCAAAACTAAAGCTTGCGTCAACTTACTTGACTATAATGCACAGAGTGTTGGAGCTGAAATTGTATTTAGGTTCAATTCGCAAGTTGATTTTGCCTTGAATTTCCGAGTCAAGCGATGTGGGTGTCAAAGGAAACCAAGCTTCTTCGGAGGAGAACTTGCATAGCTGACTTCGCCGTATCGTTACTTTACCCAGAGGACGGTTTTTAACCGTGTTGACTGTTTTTTCTCGCTCGTACAAGTATACAGAGAGGTATCTAAACACGTGTGGAATATTTTCAGCAGAAAACTCTTCGCCAAAAAATGGACTGTAAGAAATGAAACGTCAAAAATAAATCAATTAAAGAGGCAAAATGTTGCTTACTGTGTTGTTTTCTCATTTGAACAATGAGTTTGAAAGAGCTCTTCATTTTTGTCAATCTTGATTGAACAGAAACAGTCTTTCAAAAAGTTTGAGCCATTCTTGGGCTGCAAGTTCTTTGCCTCTCCAATACGGATTTTAAGCTGCTGAACGAAACGGACGTTCAGGTTCTCCAAATCCGTTCTGTTGTAGCTCTGGTCCATTTCATTTCATTCTTTTGAATTTGGGCGTTTGAGCAAATATTCTGTCTTGACTGACTGGCCTCTGATTCTGAGCGTCATCGGAAGAGTAATTGGCAGTTGAATGGAGGGGAAATGTGGGTTACTTAAACGGTGGTGAGACATAAAGAAGGAAAATGTAAACAAAGTCGGATTAGTGCTTTTGTTGTCGGGTATATTGCCTGGTGAACGGAATCATGGACATTTGTTGCATTTGTTGCTTCTCGTTCATGCCGAACTGACATGCACAGACAGGCTCACTTGAGCACAATGACTGAAAATACTGACCCGATGTGTTTAGAAAACGGGATACAGGGTACTTCCACCAACTGCAGTGGCCTTACCATCATAAAACATGCGCATAATTTGCACACATTTACCATAAAAAATGCGGCAACGGAATTTCGACAAGTCAAAGTACTAAAACGAACTGTCACAGTCTTTAAAAATGATTATACTTTGAATACATTGCATTCTATTGTTAAATTACTGTCGTGCTTTATTGACATGTACTCATTTATAAATCATTCCCAGTGTGCTTTACAAAACAAAGAAAGCAAGTGATACTATTCCCATTCACCAGGGGGCGAGTACGGGCGATCCTGAATTATAAAAATTCAATAAATGGACAAACTAAAGATATGCGGTACCAAGATAGTGGGTGGCAGTGCCTGCACAAATAAAAAGCTGTGATAGACTGCGAAAATGCAAGGAAGAAGACAGTTTAATTGCAAATAAATTATTAGAATGTAACTTGAGTAGAAGGGGCATTACAGAGCCTGGTGATGGAATAAAGGCTCACTGAAAGCTGAACAGTGGGCGCGATAACTGCCTCGACTATGGACAGCATTCACAAAAACGGAGGCCTGATTAAATGCCGTTTGTGGGGCAATTGACGGTGGCTGGAGTGTGCACTTAGTCGTCTTCTGGGGACCCATAAAATTGCCATTGACACTGGGCAGTCATTTGTGCCTGCAATAAATATCAATTTAAGCCCTTCTAGACAAGTCAATATGCTGTTGTGAGGGGAAGAGAGTTGGCGAACACTTGTGCCAGCACCAGTGGCCAGAAGTGCAGCCAAGAACTTGCGATCAAATTAATATTTTATAAATATTTGCTTGGCGATAATTTATAAATAATGCATTACTGTTTGTGCTAGGTTTGCCCTATTGGGCACCCTTCAAAGTTTGCCGGGCTCCCTCCCTCTCTCCAGTGCCTCTACGAGGCCCTTATTAAACCCTTTCCATCGCATGAGCACTTCTCAATACTGCGCGAGGCCTATGACTGCAAAGAAACTGGCTGCCTTAATCGATGCAAAACGCTATTATTATCTTTTTTATATTTATTTAATATTTAATATAATATAAAAAGATAATATAAGTGCTAAAGTTTCATTGGCACTTGAGCTATCAATAAGTTTGTGCCAGTGTGTTCACTTGGCAAGTCTCTTTCTTTCCTTCTTTCTTTCTGCTAGTCCCACAGTGCTTGCAAGGCAATGTTTTGATTGCAGCGAGGCTCAATTCAAATGCTCCTTAATGCATTAATTATCAAGCTCACTCATCTTCTCCAAAGTGCAGCACAATATTGACTTACCAAAGAGCCACCGAGCAAAGAGATTTTGCTTGCCAAAATATTTTGAATATTTTCACATAGCCATTAATAAAGGAAA